GTTAAATACCCAAAGTATTCACTAATCGAGACCATAATTCTCATGATTCATCTCACTAAAACTCGATGCATATTTTTTTATGATATTTCTTACCAGGCATGAAAAAAATAATTTAAACTTTTCCAAACTATATTGTAATAATATAATAGAACAAAGATTGATACATACCAATAAAAAAACCAATTACCAAAAATGTCAGCAAACAACGCACAAGTGATCCGGTACGGGGGCGGGGAAACCGATGACTATTCAAGCGACTCAGATAAATATAGTGATAATGTATCCGAATGTGAATCAGAAAATTGCAGTGATTGTAGCTCCGATTATGAGTCAGATACTGAGCCCACTACTATTAAGTCTCCAATATCCCAACCCCCTAAAGTAGAAGAACAAATGTCTAATTCGACAAATTCCACAGATCGAGTGGGAGTTATATATACTCAAAGGCAAGAAAAGTTTGATAGTAAATTTATCCAGAAAGATTTATTAAATAGAATCCGTGGAATTGCTTCCTCACCTGCTAGAGAAATGCTGAGCACTAAAGGTTCGTTGGAAGATATATATTTATGGGACTATCTCTTACCTAATTACGGAGCAAAGAATGGAATTAGTATATTAGATGCATATAATAGAGATGAATTAGCCAATAAATTGGTTATTCAGATAGAACAGGGTGAATATAAAAAGTTTTCTGTTATAGATGATATATCCAAAGTATATGGAGTTCCTGGGGTGCATGAATGTATTAACGGACAACGACCTTTGAGACCTGTGATTGATATTGACGCACCATTAGGAGATATGAAAGCTGAGAAAATAAAGGCAAGAGATGTTTTCATTCGTATTTGTTGCTCATTTATAAGAGCATTATACCGAGTTCTCGATTGTGATTGGGAAGCGATTTTTAAGGGATTAGTAATTGCTACATCATCTAATGATAATAAATGCAGTTATCATCTTTTATACGCCCCAACTCTTCTTATTGATTATCTGGAACTTAAAGAATTCACAGAATTAGTATATAAGCTAACGGGGGAAAAATACAGTAAGTTCATTGACAGGGGATTACCGGGACGGAATTTTAATCTTCGTCTTATTGGTTCTGCAAAAAAAGATCGCATAAAGCATATACTCAAATTCTCACTAGATAATGGATGGAATGATCTCAATGACGCCAGAGTTCAACCACCATCTAATGCAGGATTCGAAGTAAGGCCTCGCATACTTAGCATAGAAATAAATAATCAGAAAAAAATAATCGTGGGTCAAGATGCATTAAAAAAATATGCTAATTTAGTTTTGCAGAAGTATCCTGATTATCTTGGAAGTTGGGATATCGAAGAAAAAGATTCTCAGTATTTCGTATATTTCAATCGGAAAGCATATCTAGAATGTCCAAAATGTAATCGTACACATGACAAGGATCAAAAGTGGTTTGGCCGTGTATATGGTAATGGATCATTCATTGTAAAATGCTTCCAGCAAAATCGTGATGAAAGGGGGGAAATTTTCAATGACCCATCTATCGCGGAAAAAATCCAGCAAAAAAATAGGGCCAAAGATGATGCGGAACATCGAGGAAGCTTAGCTTCGAGTCTTCGACTCATCTCCGATTCCCCATTACAAGGTAATAAAAATAACGTACCTGTCCCCAGTCCCCCCAAAATAAAAGGTCCAAAGTTCCCAAAACCTTTCTTAGAAATGCCAGCTTGGGCCAAATGTGACTCCCCTCTTACCGCAACAGAAGTATATGAGGAACAATATGTAAAACCTTTACCTGAGAAAGGTGATGTATATGTAGGATCACCTTGGGAAACTGGAAAGACTTATACTTTAGAGCATCTTACAATTCCTGATGGCATAAACTTACTTGTATTATCTACACGACACACTTATTCTAGTGCTATTACTACAAGGCTCAACCTCAAATCATATACTGATATCGATGGTAATATTAATCTCCCAGATTATCAAAGAGTAGTATGTCAGATAGAAAGTTTGCATCGCATTATCAATAAATGCAAATGCCAGAAAAAATGCAAATGTCTCCCAATACCATATGACTTATGGTTAGATGAGATAGTATCTATAATTGCTCAAGCCCATACACGCTTAGCAGGGCGATCAAGAGATAATTTATATAAACTGATTCAAGAAGCCCGACGTATTATTGTTATGGATAATGATCTTACTGACCTTAATATTGAATATATCAAATCACTTCGCAAGAATAAGCAATTTTCAGTTATCTATAACACATATCAGCCCCAGAAAGGCAAAACATTCCGCTTAGCATCTGATAAAGAAACTGTATTAGCTGAACTCTGGGATTGGGCTAAGCAAATGTCTTTATTGCCTATTAATGAACGAAAAAGCGCATCTCTTATCTGTCATCTCAGAAAGGATATACAAGGAATCGTTTGTGCTCTTAGAACAGATTTTCCAGAATTGCGTATTAAGGAATACCATGGTAAGTCTGACCCAGCTGAAAAGGCTCAGGATTTTAGCAATGTTGAAGAAGCGTGGAAAAATGTAGACCTTGTTGCATATACCAGTACGTTAAAAATAGGCGTCTCTTGCACCAATCCTAAGTTTGAGCGGGCATTTTGTCTCTTTAACAGTTATATAGAAACAAATGCTGGGACAAATCAAATGTTGTTCCGTATGAGATGTATCAAGGATTATATATGTTATATTGAGCAAAGAGCATCTAATGCTCCTATTACAGAAGAAGAATTATTTAATTGGCTATTAAAAGCAAAGCAAGAATGTCTTCCTCAAGAACTCCAGAATAGGGGAATATTTCCAGATATAGAGTCTATTATTCGAAATAAGGATATTCCAACAATTCGATTATGGGTAGCATATATGTTGGAAAAGTTCCGATCTCATCGTTTATTTGGATGGAGAATGGTAGATTTTCTCAAAAAGGCAGGTATGGTGGTTTCAATAATAGAAGTTACTCCTAAATCTAAAGATTCTGTATCATTAACTGAAGCAGTGAAGGTATGTTCTTCCGTTATTAAAGCAGAGGGAATTTCAGATATCGCTAATGCCAATATTCTTAATCATGAGATGGCTGAATGTTTAGAAAATAAACCAAAAAAGACTTTAGAGGAGATGCATGCTTTAAGTCGGTATCATATTGCAGAATGTTATGGAATATCACCCGAATCTATAACAGAAGAATTTATTACAGACTATGGTAAATATGACCATATGAAATTGTTTAGAAATCTCCGGAAACTACGAGATGCGGGTACTGATAATGAAACAGCAGTTGAGGCCATTACCCGTGAAGATTATAGGAATGATAGGCTTACAACCGTTACCCAAGCTGAGAAGCATCGAATTTGTCTGGAATTACTAAAGATTTGCACACCCGTTAAAGATATTGATAACCGAGATAAATATAAAGCCGATGTTGTTAAAACGTGCTTAGAGTCACCGGTATCTATAGAGTATCTCCAGAATTTAGTACCTAAAATGGCACGGGTTTTTGATAATACAGACGCATCTCGCAGTACTAAAAAATCTAGATTAAAAACTCTTAGAGCAAAACTAGGCTTATTAAATTCGGCACTCTATGCGACCTATGGCTTGAAACTTAAAGGTACAAATAATAAGCATACGCATTACCACCTAGTTGGAGGATTTGATGATGAGGATGCTCCAAAGTTGCCACCATATCAAACGGGTGAAGGACAATTCTATGAAAATGGTGAGGATATACGTTATGGGTATAGTAAACTCTCATCTGACGAATTAGAGATCACTCCCAGTTCTGTTATACAGTTGCGTCAAGAATTGTTTGATATCATTTAAAACGGGTATTTAGGATCCATGATATATCTTACAAAGGGGGTTTTTGTGTCGCTTAAAATTGATATTTGTAAAAAAAATCCATTACGAAGACCATTTTTGTGACGCTTAAAACTAATATCTAATAAAAGTGAGTATAATTATTCATCTGCTTCTATTCTCTGCGCCTTTTGTCTCTCATACCAATTTCGAAAGTAAACCCTCTTCGCATGTTTAGGACAATATCCCGTCCCAGAAATTGTTAGTTTTCCGCAGATCCCACAAGGAAATTTTGCTATATTCGTATCATATAATTTCCAGTGCAACGAACACCCTATGTCCCGCCAACAACCTTTTCCACAAATCGAACCATCTCTTTTAAGATATGGGCAGGTTGAACGCCCCGGACTATCCCTTTTAACATATTGATATGTTGAACACTCCGAATCGTCTTCTTTAACGTATTGACTGATTGGATACCCCATTCAAAGTGATTCAATATATAACGTATAAAGCCCGTTTCACTTTTTATGTAAATATATTTAATATAAAATCAATTTAAACTTTTCCAAATTATTTTGTAATAATATAATCGAATATATATTGACACTATACATACCTCATACCCAATGGAAATGCCCCAGAAAGTAGTCAACTTATTAACCAAAAGAGAGATTGATCACAATGGGCCAACATTCCGCAAACTAATGCGCGATGGTTTTAGGTACGTAAAAGATTTAGCTGAATTTCTACAATTATCAGATGTTATGGATTATTACTATTTCGAACAAATTAGATTCATGAATGCTCTATCTTATCCAGCTATAATACCACCGATTGATATAATGGAAAATAGACCCGATATTTACAAGAAATGGTTCATAAGTATAGAAACATATCGGAATCTATTCCAAGCATTATAAAAAATAAAAATGAATCATAAACCTTAATATAGCCTGGATCACAACTCCAAAGCTATAAAATTTTTTGTTATATTCTATATATTAGTAAATTTCAAATCAACATCCCGGTAACCCTATAGGTATACATAAACTCTTTTTTTCTAGGTATAGGAGGAAAAAGCGTAATTAATTTCGATTTGAAAAAAGAATCCCATAGTATATATCAGACGAAAATAGTCTACATAAACCATCTCAATTAACATATGTGTCAAAGACACTAGCTTCGCTATACTAACCATGGCAAAAATTGCTACATCATTTGTAAATCACTACAAATTGACTCTACAAACTAGTTTACCAGAGCTTAGTAGTTATGTCGAAGAGTTGGCTAGTAAACTTTCAAATGGCAAGACAAAAGAGCAGGCCCGGAAAGCTAGAGATCAGGCTAAAAGACGCTTCCAAGAGTTGGGATTAAGTAAGGAGCAAGCTGATATTCTTATTCCTATTCGATCCCCTGGGAGACATGTTGATGAAAGAGATCCTATCAAAATTATTGCCCAGAATATTATAAAAAATAATCTCTCACCTGAAGAGATAAATGGAATAGCATATGACTTGGCTTCTTCTGCTCCCACTACTGTTGCCGGAAATTCTCGGCTTAATTTATTACGAAAAGAGTTGCGCAAACTTGGGGTTGATTATCTCATCACTGAGGCAACGAAAATACCCTTTGTTACTGAAGAAGCAAATCAGATTCAAGCAAGAAAACGTATACTTCGTGGAATTAATGGTTACGATTGTCCCGAGTTCTTTTATCTGGAAAAAGTTCAGGAAAGACTTAATGAATGTAATATTAACAAGCCTCCTTCAATGCAAAATCTAATAGACGTAATGATAATGCTATGTATGCGATCGGCAGATGTAAAAAATCTTAGTATCAGTCGATACAGACCAAGTCGTGAGTCATGGTATAATCCTGACTATTCTTGGTACTGTATTGGTTATGCAAAAAACAAAGGTGAAGTAGAAGAACCCCGACCATTCCTTTCAATGGAAAAAAATCCAATACGAGCAAGAGAATTACTTATCTGGATTCAGAGATCAATACCGGATAAATTCCCCTTCTTGTTAAAAGATAAGGATGGAAATACTAATGTTGTACCACTTAATCAATTCTTAAGTCGCCGTAGAATTACCTCATTTATATTAAGAAAAATAGGGGCTGATCATGCTTCCAGAGTGCATGGAGGTAGGAATGATTCCCGCCGTCAATATTTACGACAATTGGCATGTAGGCATAAAATAGGTCATGCTTCATCAGTCGAGCATTATGGTGTAATGAATGATAGGCCAGTTATTCCAGTACATAAGAAAGAAAATACTAAGATATCGGATATTATAGACCTATACAATTACTAATCATGCTTCTTGGTTTTCACCACATTCACAGTAAAATCTTTATCATCGTTGCTGGGGATATTTACTTCGTAGCTGGATGATTCAGAATCAGACCCAGATGCGGTATCATTAAAAAATCTCTTTTTTCTTTTAGCCTTGCATAGTGTACGATTTCTTCGAGAAATATCTGGGTTTGCTATTGAGTTTATAATATCCTGCTGAATCTCAGGTTTCACTATTTTCAGTAATTGGTGAAGACAGATCCAGATTTTTTTTACCCGATACCTGTTTAGTAATATGGGATACAGTTCTATCAGCTTCGGTCATTGTAAATGTTAAATTATTTATTAATGCTAATTTAAAAATACGCCTAAATTAATTATCCGAACATTAGCTGTTTTTTCGATTAAAGATATATAATATACATTCTTGAGAATGGTGCAACTAAATATTTTTGATTTACCAGAATTGCTAGAACAGATCTTATATTTTCTAGAAATCCATCAATCCCTCTATCTCACTTTATTTGTTAACCATCTTTGGTATCACTGCGGTGCTCCTATTCTATGGCAACGCATTGAGTTTTTCAACAAAGATTATCAGCAAAGCCGGTGTGCCCTAAACATGTCTCGGATTCTTATTCGGCGATTGATAAACTTTGAAAGAGTTATGCGTAGAAAAATAAAGCCAACCTATTGCGCCAAGATGGTATATCTCAGATTGGAAGGTTTAAAAATCTCAGATGCATTGATTAGTGCGATTCTACGCTCATGTCCAGATATACGCTTTCTTATTCTTGATAAAAGTAAGGGTTTCACTAATATACCAATTATAGAAATTGCGAGATTTTCTCCAAAACTACAGCATCTGAGTCTTAATTCATGTATATGTCTCACTAATTGATGTATCACTGAAATTACTCGCTCATGCTCAAAACTTAGACATCTTGAGCTTGGTAATTGCTCGATTGGTAATGAAGCTATCGAGAAGATAGCCAGCAACTGTACTAATTTGAAATATCTTAGTTTGAAGGGGTGTAGAAGGATTAGTAATGAAGTACTGAAAAAACTTAATCTGAAAATTAAAATCGAACGTCCAGATTATTCCGATGATGAATTCTCCGATTCTGATTTACCTCCACTTATTCCAATCTTTACCGGTAGACAAAATGGGATAGCTATAACCAGGTCCTTTAGAGACTACTATTTGAGTCATACATCAGATGAAACAGATCTTATTTCTGCAATTGTTAATTATCTCAGAGAGAATCCTCCAATGTGAGTTATAAATAATTACATTTATTACTGAAGAATGGGTAATTATTTACTGAGTTATTTTTTCGCGGTAATATACATTATTAAATATACTTAATATGTTCGTAAATACACTCGTAGAGGGGAAAATCCTAGTAAAAGCATTAATTGATACATCGTCAAAGTTTAATACTGTCAGCAGGCGCTTGTTTAATAAGCTTGAAGAAGATTATGGGTTAGAAGGTATATCTGATGATGATTTGATAGGTGAAGAAATAAAATGCTTAGATTTACAGTTTTACTATAAAGGAAAGTGGCGAAGCTTAGTTGGCACCGAAGTAATAGACTTTCAAATTCGCAAAAATCCATCATTCGATTTGGTTCTGGGACAAGAATGGTTATGGATGCATAGAGCAAAAATGAGCTTTGGATTTTCTTCTGAAACCTGTAGCCACAATGCTAAAATTGTAAT